ACAGCAGAGCCTAATGCACATTCCAGGATGATCTTCTCCTTGTATGTGCTTAGATTTTTTACAGGGAATGGAGGGCTTAGTACCAACCAAACAGTACAAATTAAAACTTGGATTAATGTGAAAAACACTACAGTCATTCTTTGTTGTGGAGGCCCAAACCATTTCATGACATTACTACCTGGAAGTGTAGCTTTAAAGGCCATTAGAACTACTACAGTTTTACCAAGAACACAGGAGATACAAAGAACAAAAATGATACCAAAAGCTGTGTGCCGCAGCATGCAGGACCACTCAGAGGGAGCTCCAATGAAAGTTAATGAACATAAAAAACACAGAGTCAGAGAGAAGAGCAGCAGGAAACTCAGCTCAGAGTTGTTGGCTCTGACAATCGGAGTTGTTCTGTGTCGAAAGAAAATAATTCCTGTAATGATGGCCAGACAGGCTCCAAAACCAGAGAATGTTGCCAGAATGATAGCCAGTAATTCATCAAAGGATAGAAACTCTACATGGTTGGGGAAACAAGCATCTCTTTGTGCATTAGACCAGAATTCACTGGGACATGTAAAGCAATCAGGAGAATCTAAGGAAATAAAGCAAAACAGGGTGATAATACTCAAATATATCATTAGGGAGATGATTCAAAACCAATTATGTTACCTGTTTTATTACTGATCTCTCCTTCAGGACACGGTATACAATCATAGCAACAGATGGGTTTTCCTTTCTGCAACACTTTACGAGTTCCAAGAGGACACGTCTCAGAGCACACTGACACTGGAATCTGTCATAAAGGCACAGTCACAGACATGTAATTAAAAAAAGCTTTATAATTTTTACAGCTGTTTGTAATTTGTTATTTTCTCATGACTATGATTTGTACTTCTGTCCCATGTTTCACCCAGGTTATGTTCCTGTAGATTTGTAACTCCTGGCCTTTTGACAGTGATCCATCATAGTACCCTACTGTTATCAGATCAATACTTCCACTCTCTCTCTTCTGCCAGTTGACCAGCTCATAAAAAGCCACTGGATCCCCATTAGCATCAAATGACACAGGATAACCATTTTGGGAAAAATTAACTTTTTTCAATTCTGTAAAAACCTGTAAAGTACGAGAAAAAAAAATATGGGGGAGCCCTTTTTTTCCCAAAAATAGTTAATAGATTACAAGAATTTGGAAATTAATAAAAATAAATAAATACATTGTATTTTACATTTCAAGTGAACTGACCTGTTTGGACTCCAGTCTGAAATATTTATCACACTCAAAATTGAGATTTCTTTCCTCACACATTGCATTGTGAATGGCATGAGCCACTGCATAAACAGCCTTGTACACCATGTTAGTAACTCTTAACTGAGATGTATCAGTGTACGGGTTTTCAAGTGTTTTTATATCTTCAGTTCCATCACATTCTCTTTTGCCAAGATTGTCATCTAACAAGAAAAAAAACAGAATCAGATTGTCTGATTTTTCCAAGAAAAACTAAAATGGATTAACCAAGAGTTTGTTTCTTCATTAATACATTTCTGTGCATGCCAACTACTTCATTCATTAAAACAAATAAATAAAATTAAAGAAGCTAATCAAAACTTGCAAATAAAAAAAATACATCACTGAGTCTAAAAATGCAGCTCTGAGATCAATATATATATATATATATATATATATATATATATATATACTTTTGCAGGTTGTTCCAAATTTTAATTAGTTCTTTTGTATATAGCAGAACATTTCTGATCATTATACAACTGTGAACATGTACGTGAAGGTTTGCTGTTTAATCTAAATCAGACGAACAACAAAAGCAGAATTGTGTGCAGAGTTGCCAGATAGAGTCAAGGATTTCCAGACCAAAAATCTGTTAAAAACTGCCACATCACACAAAACCTGCCCAGTCAATATACTGTTACTGTATATTTACTGTTTGAACATGAACATACATCAGTACAAACGAAGGTAATTTAACACTAAGCGGCAAAACGCAACAATCCAACAAAAATCTTCCCAGAGTTCTCATGAAAATCAAAATGAAAACCAGCCAATTGGTGGTAAACTGCCCAATCTGGCAACACTGATTGTGTGTCTGAATGAAATGGCTATTTCCTTGTCAAATCACCCAAGTATTACTTTTACTTTTTTTCTTCTTTTTTTTTTTGTCAGATAAAATTTTTGACTATGTGCAGGCCTAATATAGTGTTGGAGACACACAGAGTTTATAGAGTTCTGCTCTGATCATCCTTGAAATGACTTCATAAACTTTGTTCATCGAAAAAATAAAAAAAGCCAGGTCTTCTGGACGGATTCTTTGAAGAATCCGTCCAGAAGACCTGGCTTAGTTTTGTTTTTTCACCTGCATTGTTGAGAGTGCATCAGGACAGTTTTTGTTCAGTTTTAAGTTACTAGATGTGTCAAGTCACACAAGTTCTCTTGAACATTTTACCTGCTCAAATCTGTGAAACAACCAAAAAAAAAAAAAAACAGCAAGGAAAACTTTGTGTTTGGGCAAATAAAAAAGACGAATCGCACTTACTCTTTTTCAAGCTGCAGTTAAATGCATCCTCCCAGAACTCAGTAAGCACTAAGGAGGTAGCTACTTCAGTGGGAGAAAGATCCAGCAGGAAGTCTCTCAGCCCTGGGATGACAGATTTCTGAATGGCAACTCCAATGGCCCCTGCACAGAAACTGTAGCCCATCAATAATGGGTCAGTTACTCAGCCCTCACTTCCTATCCACTGACGAGGTGGTGAGGGCTCCAAAGCCAACTCTTCTAAAAGGACACTCATGTCTCCAGAGGCTGTATAAGCTACAATGACCATTGCTGTGGACCTGCAGAGACATTAGAATATATTATTTAATTTGACATATACCTATTTTTTTTACCAACAAAAGACTATTTCTAATACATATTGTTAAGTGTAACAACCATCAACACTTGACGTGTGTTTTGAATCATTATTTTTAAATACTATGGAAAAGATAACGCAACAGAATACTGGAATTTTATATTTCATTTTTTTAAATGTGTATTTGAGTAAAATATTTTGCAGTTTGCAGTGCAGAAGCTTCACATCAATAGAAAGTACACAAGCAAAATTTACAAATCTGAAACCTTCGTATAACATCAGCTATTCTCTGGATTTTGCTGTGTGGGTCGGTCCGAAAAAAGGCCTCAGTGTACTCCACACAAATCCCTTCTTTCTGTGCCACAGCAAGAAAAGATGACATGCCAAAATTTCCATAATCTGAGTCAGAATGGACAGCACCTATCCAAGTCCAGCCAAAGTGTTTCACCAGCTTGGCCAGAGCATCAGCCTGGAACTGATCACTGGGAATTGTTCTGAAAAAAGTTGGAAACTGCTTCTTATCTGACAGGCAGGCACACGTGGCAAAGTAGCTCACCTAATGAAAGAAAAATAGAGCAACGTAGCTGATTAATAATAAAGAAAACCCAGGAAATATCCAAAGATATAATTCAAACTTTCACTTTGCAAGGACTCACTTGCGGGACATTAAAGGACCCAATGATACGTGCTATGCTGATAGATGGAGTGGATCCAGAGTCCCCAATAACAGCCATTACCATACCAGTTTGAGAACAATTGCTGTCTTTGTAAAACACAGGGTCCTGGCCATTTGACAGTTGAAACGCTACATGCACAGCCACAGGCACTGAGACACATGAATCATGGATCTCATATCCAAGTTTGATGCCTGGAAGTAGCTCTGTGCTGTTGTTTATCTCCTCAATGGCAAAGACCATTGCTCGAAAGAAGCGCAAAACCCGGGGATTAAAGCTGCACAAAATCAATTGCATGAGTTCTGACATTTTTACAAAATAGAAAAAATATATACTTTGTATTTTGCACACAAAACTTTGTCATTCATCTGTAAACCAATATGTTCAATTAAGTGTCATTTAGTTGATTTTAAAACATAAAACAAAAGCTAAGATCTAATGGGAAAATGACTAACTGTTATATATATATATATATATATATATTAACTCAATAGTATATTATTTGTAATAATATTTTCATGAATTTGTACCAAAAGCCAATGCTTGCTTTAGGGAAAAAAAACACATCAAGATTGGAGAATGTATACATCTGAAAATAAGATAATTACCAAAAAAAAAATATATTAACAAAAAAATAATATTCACTTTCCAAATTTTTAAAACTTTGTAGCTAATTACTCAAATTTCTATATGTACACATCTAATATCTCTTTCCATCCTTTACATATTTTTTTTCTTCTTCCCCCACTTACTAACCTCCCTGTGCATCTTGGAGGTTCAGGCTTAGTGGTGTAGTTATAAATCACCGTGTAAAGTTTGTGGTGAATAGAAAAAGAACCTCCTATAACAAAGTCCCCATCCTCTGACATTGCAGGTAAACGAATTGTACCCTGTAGGGCACATTTCATCGATGAAGCCTCAATACTGATATCAGCACCAGTCAGGTCATCTATAGGCTCAGTCTTCTGTTGAAGTCCGTTTACAGAGCCACCTAAGTCAACCGCTGACATCAGCTCCAATAAACTCACTGCAAATCTCAAACCGATATAGAATGTACAGATCTCCATTCCTCAACTGTATGTACTTGGGTGTGTTTTTACATATTTATGTAATTTTCCATTATATCATGTGATCATTCATGAAAAAAAAAAAAACGCCTCCTACTCAGTAATTGTTGTTGTTGTCTTTGTGTGTGTGTGTGTGTTGGTGCATGTGTGGGTGTGTGGAGGAGGGGGTGTATCAAAGTAAAAGTCAAAGTTTCTTTGTTTGTCATTGGCAGTGGCACCACATGTGCTACATGTGGTGGAATGAAATTGTATACACATAGTCCCAGTTACATCCAACAAAAGTATAAAATGTATAGATAAACATTAATATGATCAAAGGTGTGAACTAAGATGTATATGATAATAACACACTAAGCACTACTAGTACAAAGCAATGTGCCAAACAACAGTATTACAAACATGAGTCTGTGTGAGCAGATGAGTATGAATGAACACAGCAGTGTGAAATAATCAACAGCACAAGATCAACAACATGGATAATCAGCAGCACATATCAACAATCAAATGGCTTTATGGTGATTTATTTATTTATTTTAACAGTGATTATCCTGGTTAGGGATTCATGAGTCCAACTGTTTCAGGGTAGACGCTGTTCCTCAGTCTGGTGGATCTACACTTAATGCTCCTCAACCTCCTGCCTGAGGGGAGCGGGACAAAAAAGTGAGTGTGCTGGGTGAGTGGGGTCCTTCATGATGCAGCTGGCCCCCTTCCTGCATATAGAGTTATAAATGTCTGTGATATTGGGGAGACTGATTCCAACAGACTTCTGTGCAGCCTTCACCACTCTCTGGAAAGCTTTTTTTTTCTACAGCTGTGCAGCCTCCATGCCACACATTGATGCTAGAGCACAGGATGCTCTCCACTGCACACCTGTAGAAGGAGGTGAGGACTGAGCTTCCCAGACCATCTCGTCTCAGCCGCCTGAGGAAGTAAAGTCACTGATGTACTTTCTTGATCAGGCTGGTAGTGTTGTTGCGTCGGCTGAGGTTGTGATTCAGGACCGCACCGCAGATCCTCTATGTTTGAGGGTGGGGGGTGTGGGGGTGGGGGAGGGGGGGTGGCAGGTGTGATTGTTCGTCTGAAGTCACAACCATTTCCTTCATCTTCTTTAAATTGATGTGAAGGCTGTTCTTCCTGCACCAGCTCTCCAGGTGTTCCACCTCCTGCCCGTAGCTGGACTCGTTGTTTGTGATGCATCCAACCACCGCTGTATCATCTGCAAACTTTACAATATGACAGTCTGGATGGGTAGGTGCACAGTCATACATGAGCAGAGTGAACAGGAGAGGGCTCAGCACACAACCCTGAGGGGAGCCAGTGCTGAGGATTATGGTGGAGGAGAAGTTGTGGATCCTCACTGACTGGTCTGTTTTTTAAGAAGTCTAGGACCCAGTTGAAAATGGAGGAGCTTAGTCCTAGTGTGAGTAGTTTGTCCATCAACATCTTGGGGATCATGGTGTTGAAGGCACACGTGAAGTCCACAAAGAGCATACAGACGTAGGAAGTTCTTCTGCTCAGGTGGGTGAGAGCAGTGTGGACCATAGAGGAGATGGTGTCTATTGTAGATCAATTCTTGCTGTTGGTGTACTGGTGAGGGTCCTCGCTGATGTTTATGGTTGTTTTTATGTGGGTCATGACCAGTCTTTCGAAGCATTTAGTGACTATCGGTGTGAGGGCTACTGGCTGATGTTCATTCAGACCAGTCACTGTAGATCTCTTTGGGACTGGGATGATGGTGACGGTCTTCAGGCAGGTGGGAGCTGTTGCCAGTGTGAAGGAGGAGTTAAAGATGTTGGCCAGCACCTCGCAGAGTTGATCGGCACAGTCTTTCAGCACCTTCCCAGGGATGTTGTCTGGGCCAGTTGCTTTATGAGGATTAATCCTCCTGAAAATACTCCTCACTTTGGCTGGAGTCACGCTGAGAAACTCCTCTTCCGGTGGTGAAGTGAGTTTGTTGTTAGGTGGTGTGTATGGGTCTTCAAAGCATGCATAGAACTAGTTGAGGGTATCAGGCAGTGATGAGTCCCTAGGGCATTGGGCACCTCTACATAAAAAAAAAAAAATAAAAATAAATATATATATATATATATATATATATGTGTGTGTGTGTATATAAAGGCATTTTAAACACCACACTCTTGCAATGTTCTAAACAATGGTTCTAATCTCTAAATGCACTAAAAAAGCATAGCATGTCATGATCTCCGCTCTCTGCGATGGCTGCTCTTTGCCACCTGCCAGCGCACTTGGACATGCCCACTTCTCCACTGCAGAGCAGAAATCATGACATGTTGAAGGAGAGAGCTTCTCCTGCAGCTGTGGGCTGAACACAGGTGCAGCAGATGCTAAATCATTTAAAATAATACATTTTAAATAAAAATTCCATGCCGATCATGTGGCTCATCCATCAATCACACAATTGTGTGTCATGTCCAATCTTACTTTAGAAAACGATGATTTAGAGTCTGCAAAAGTCGAACCGCAAAGTAGCAAGGGACTACTCTATACACAAACTAAAGGCTGGACAAATTTTAATTTTTAAATTCAATCATGGCGTTTCCCCCCAACATGTTTGGCTTTGTATAAGTCGTAAAGATAGCCCATGACCACTTTCCATCATATTGCCATTTTCTTGGTACACTGAGAGTTTGGACAAACAACATTTACTTACTTTCTCTTCAACATGGAAGAAGTTACAACAGGACCTGAAACTAGTTAAATGTTTTCCAGTCAAGGATTTTGTAACATGAAGATGTGCTTCCTTGACTATGCCCTTTGACCTTTGGGTTGTCTACAAGACTCACCTTGAACAGTTTTCATTAAAGTTGCTGTAAACTTGAACAATTGCTGTTTTCACACATTCTTTGTCCTTGGACTCAGAGTCAGCTACAGTCTGACTAATATTTACAAATTTCTTCTATGTTTTAAAGAAAGAAAAATACTAAATAATTAATGAATTTTGTTTTATTTGATTATGACAGACGTGAACATGAATAATGTTGATTATTGTTTTCAATCACTATAATGAAATCAGGTGAACTGTTATACTGTGATTTGATATATTTATCTGTTCTGTTTTTCAGAAAATAAATTTTCCTTGAGAGACACCTGTGTGTGTTTTTGAGACAGAATCTGTTTATTTAAGAGGGGAGTCATAATCTTCCAGCGTTCGCCAAAACACTTCTGAGGGCTGACAGCTCAATCAAAAAAATTTTGGGTGACACTGACAGTTTGTCTTGGACCCCATTCTGAGCAGTTTGTCTGATGTTCGTTTTCATTTATTCCTGAGCAAAGAAACATGTTTGCTCAGTTAAATTTTTTGTTAGAAGCAAAGTAGAAGCTTGAAGTAACTACTGAAGATGAAACATTGTTCTATTTCGTATAGGCTTCGCCCTTTAAGGCTATAGCTAGTGGGTTTATCCCGCCGTGCGTAGCACTGAAAACTTTCGTCCGTGCCCACCGGCTGTGTGGGCCCCACCCCTGGTCCGTATAAATTACGGTAAAACTGGGCAAATTCTCATTCATTCAACCTTTATTTATATAAATTAGTCTCATTGATTCACGAGGACTCATTTACGTGACATAACGGTTTTAAACAAAAAACAAAGATGATTTACACACAACAATAAACAATCATATGAAAGTACAGGTGCTGGCCATAAAATTAGAATATCATAAAAAGTTGATTTATTTCAGTAACTCCATTCAAAAAGTGAAACTTGTATATTATATTCATTCATTGCACATAGACTGATATATTTCAAATGTTTATTTATTTTGATGTTGATTTTAACTGATATCTAATGAAAATCACAAATTCAGTATCTCAGAAAATTAGAAAATTGTGAAAAAGTTCATTACTGAAGACACCTGGTGCCACACTCTAATCAGCTAATTAACTCAAAACACCTGCAAAGGCCTTTAAATGGTCTCTTAGTCTAGTTCTGTAAGCTACACAATCATGGAGAAGACTGCTGACTTGACAATTGTCCAAAATATGACAATTAACAACACAAAGGGGGCAAGACATTAAAGGTCATTGCTAAAGAGGCTGACTGTTCACAGAGCTCTGTGTCCAAGCACATTAACAGACATGCAAAGGGAAGGAAAAATATGTGGTAGAGAAAGGTGTGCAGGCAATAGGGGCAATCACACCCTGGAGAGGATTAAGCAAAACCAATTAAAATGTGGGGGAGATTCACAAAGAGTGGACTGCAGCTGGAGTCAGTGCTTCAAGAACCACCATTCACAGACATATGCAAGACATGGGTTTCAGTTGTTTCACTTGGGTTTCACTTTTCACTTCCGGCGAGCTGATGGACAGCAGCTCCCTCCGGCTTCTCTGCAGTCTTTTATCATCAAACTGACCCGTTTTTCGAACCGGACTAAAGTTGGTCCTCCTTCCAACCGAATTCGGTGTTCAGTGACTCAGAGAGCCGGACGGGACCGTCCAAAAAAAAAATATATATATATTTTGGCCCAGGACCGATCGGCCGCTCCCCCCCATCGGTCACTCTGAGCGCACCCTGCCGGCCAGGTGACCCCTCGAGCTGGGGAGTCGACGCACGAAGGTCCGGTGTTTTTTTCTCTCTCTCCCTGGACCTCAACGAACTCTTATCTGGACCTTTGTGGTTCTACCTGGTTCCGACAAATATCGCCGGGTGGTATTTCGCTGGTTTTCAGCTGGACTGGCCCTCGTGGTGTTTCCATAGGTGTGGGGGAAGTGTACCTGTGACCCTCGAATTGGACCAGAACCGAATCGAGGTGGCTGTGGGGAAATTCGTCTTCTACAGAGCCGGTCTCAGCTTCAGTGAGCAGCCCGT